GCTCGATGCAGAATGAGGTCTGCCTTCTGAATAAAACCTACTCCACACTCTGGGTATTTGATGGTTTCTCCCCAGTGTGAGTTGCTTGATGCCGAGTGAGGTTTACCTTCTGAATAAAGCCTTTCCCACACTCTGGGCATTGGAATGGTTTCTCCCCAGTGTGAGTTGCTTGATGCCGAGTGAGGTCTGCCTTCAGAATAAAACCTTTTCCACACTCCAAGCATTTGAATGGTTTCTCCCCAGTGTGAGTTGCTTGATGCCGAGTGAGGATTGCCTTCTGAATAAAGCCTTTTCCACACTCCAGGCATTTAAATGGTTTCTCCACCGTGTGAATTGCTTGATGCTGAGTGAGGTGTGACTTCTGAACAAAGCCTTTTCCACACTCTGGGCATTTGAATGGTTTCTTCCCCGTGTGAATTGCTTGATGCCGAGTGAGGTCTGTCTTCAGAATAAAGCCTTTTCCACACTCTGGGCATTTGAATGGTTTCTCCCCCATGTGAATTGCTTGATGCCGAGTGAGGTCTGCCTTCTGAATAAAACCTATTCCACACTCCAAGCATTTGAATGGTTTCTCCCTAGTGTGAATTGCTTGATGCCGAGTGAGGTCTGCCTTCTGAATAAAGCCTTTTCCACACTCCAGGCATTTGAATGGATTGTCCTCAGTGTGAATGGCTTGATGCCGAGTGAGGTTTCCCTTCTGAATAAAGCTTTTTCCACACTCTGGGCATTTGAATGGTTTCTCCCCAGTGTGAATGGCTCGATGCTGAGTGAGGACTGACTTCCGAAAAAAGCTTTTTCCACACTCTGGGCATTTGAATGGTTTCTCCCCAGTGTGAGTTGCTTGATGCCGAGTGAGGTCTGCCTTCTGAATAAAGCCTTTTCCACACTCTGGGCATTTGAATGGTTTCTCCCCAGTGTGAGTTGCTTGATGCCGAGTGAGGTTTACCTTCTGAATAAAACCTTTTCCACACTCTGGGCATTTGAATGGTTTCTCCCCAGTGTGAGTTGCTTGATGCTGAGTGAGGTTTGCTTTCTGAATAAAACCTTTTCCACATTCTGGGGATTTGAATGGTTTCTCCCCAGTGCGAGTTGCTTGATGCTGAGTGAGGTTTCCCTTCTGAATAAAGCCTTTTCCACACTCTGGGCATTTGAATGGTTTCTCCCCCATGTGAATTGCTTGATGCCGAGTGAGGTCTGCCTTCTGAATAAAGCCTTTTCCACACTCCAGGCATTTGAATGGATTGTCCTCAGTGTGAGTTGCTTGATGCCGAGTGAGGTGTGACTTCCAAATAAACTCTTTTCTACACTTCAGGCATTTGAATAGTTTCCTCCCGGCGTGAGTTGTTTGATGACAAAGAAGGAAACTCTTCAAAATGAAACCCTTTCGGCATATCCAACAATGAAATGGTTTCTTCCTTGTGTGATCTGATTGGTAACGGGAGAGGAAGGCCTTTTGACTGAATCTTTTTTTCCCCTCCAAACACTTGGATGACGAGGAATTGTTTCCACAAGTGCTTCCTGGAAAGAGACATCAGAAGTCAACAAGATTAGAAGAAAAGAATTCCGACTGCTTTAATATCAATATAATATATAATATAATACAAAGAATTCTGGTTTTATGTGAGCTGACTAAGCACAAGACAGGGGGAGCCTTACCCAGAGAGGACAGGCGTTCCAAATTCTCCTCCATCACCTTCTGATGAAGGGCTCTTTGGCCTGGGTCCAACAGAGCCCACTCTTCTTCTGTGAAATCCACAGCCACCTCCTCAAAAGTCACCTGGAGAACAACAAAAATATTGTTTCAGACTGCTCTAAAACTTGAAATTCTTATTGGATGATATCTACAGGCTCTTTGAAGTAACACGTTGGATGCAAGCAAAGGGAAAGAACAAGATTTTGTGAGAACCACAGGGTGGTTAAATCGACAGCAGAACACCGCCTGCGCCTTTCTTGGCTTGCTGGAGGGCCTGCCCCCTACCTGATGTACTTCTGCAGATGCTATTCTGAGTTCCTCTTGAGGAAAAGATGCTCTTCTACTTCTACTTACAGACCCAGTCCTTGTTCCCTCTCCTGGAAGGAAAGGAAAGAGAAGGGAAAGAGAACATTATTACCCACTCTCTCCTTTCTCCTTCAAATTCCTTCTACACATTCCAATGTAACAAACACCATAATGTATACACAGAAAGAATTGGGAAGTCTTGGAAGACCGCAGTCCTGCAGTTGTGAGGTGCACATCATCCTTCTCCTTTATAATCAGGCACAAGTTAATCAGGCAAATCTGCTCCTGAGCATGGCTTCTTAACGGAAAAATGGTAGCTGAGGCAGGAATAACATTGAAAAAAGGAGGATAAGCTCCTCCTTCACCAAAAAGAAGAGCACTTCAGCAAGCTTTTTATTCAAAATCAGCAAAATGCACACATTAAATGCAAGAATGACGTCAAGGTCAGCCTTGGGTTAGTGAAAAGACCCCAACAAAATTTAAAACCTACAGGCAACAAGAAGCCTTCTTCCAAAATGACCCTGTGTCAACCTATCCTTTCATAACCCTCCATTTTCTTATGATTTCCATTTTTAGTGGTCAACATTTTAAATCTCTACATTTTTCTCGTCTGCAATGGGAGCTGATGAGATTCCTACTTTCTCTTAGTTTTGCTGGTCATACATGCTCAGAAGCGGGCGCTAGTGGCAGCTGAATTTACATTGCCTTGTTGTAGGCAGGCACACCACTTGGAGTGCCTCTGGTGTTGCCATAAGAAGGTCCTCCATTGTGCATGTGGCAGGCCTCAGGTTGCATTGCAGCAGGTGGTCTGTAGTTTTCTCTACTCCACACTCGCATGTTGTAGATTCCACTTTGTGGCCCCATTTCTTAAGATTGGCTCTGCATCTCGTGGTGCCAGAGCGCAGTCTGTTCAGCGCCTTCCAAGTCGCCCAGTTTTCTGTGTGCCCAGGGGGGAGTCTCTCATCTGGTATCAGCCACTGGTTGAGAGTCTGGGTTTGAGCCTGCCACTTTTGGACTCTCGCTTGCTGAGGTGTTCCAGCGAGTGTCTCTGTAGATCTTAGAAAATTATTTCTTGATTTAAGTCGTTGACGTGCTGGCTGATATCCAAACAGAGGATGGGCCGGAGATGTCACTGCCTTGGTCCTTTCACTATTGCCTGCTACTTCCCGGCGGATGTCAGGTGGTGCAATACCAGCTAAACAGTGTAATTTCTCCAGTGTTGTAGGGCGCAGACACCCCGTGATAATGCGGCATGTCTCATTAAGAGCCACATCCACAGTTTTATTGTGGTGAGATGTGTTCCACACTGGGCATGCGTACTTAGCAGCAGAGTAGCATAGTGCAAGGGCAGATGCTTCACTGTGTTTGTTGTGATCCCCAGGTTGTGCCAGTCAGTTTTCGTATGATATTGTTTCTAGCGCCCACTTTTTGCTTGATGTTCAGGCAATGCTCCTTGTAGGTCAGAGCATGGTTCAGAGTGACTCCCAGGTATTTGGGTGTGCTGCAATGCTCCAGTGGGATTCCTTCCCAGGTGATCCCCAGAGCTTGGGGTGCTTGTCTGTTCTTAAGGTTTTTTTTTTGTCATGTTAGGAGCGACCTAGGAAACTGCAAGTCGCTTCTGGTGTGAGAGAACTGGCCGTCTGCAAGGACGTTACCCAGGGGACACCTGGATGATTTGATGTTTTTATCATCCTTGTGGGAGGCTTCTCTCATGTCCCCGCATGAGGAGCTGGAGCTGATAGAGGGAGCTCATTCGCCTCTCCCCAGATTCGAACCTGCAACCTGTCGGTCTTCAGTCCTGCCAGCACAGGGTTTAACCCACTGCGCCACCGGGGGCTCCATTGTTTTTAAGGTGAAAGGCACATGTCTGTTTTTTAGATGGATTAGGGATCAGCTAGTTTTCCCTGTAGTAGGCAGTAAGAGCACCTAGAGTTTCGGAGAGCTTCTGTTCAACCATCTCAAAGCTCCCTGCTTGAGCAGTATATGCTATTATATATAATATACTATTATATATAGTATACATATATACACTATTATATACAGTATATAATATACTATTATACCCAGATACTAAGAGTTGTATTCCTCCCGTCCTTTTTTATCAGTGAAAATGTTACAAGGGAAAAATCCAGCTACGCAGAAGCTAAGAAAGAAAAAGCAGATTTTCTGTTAGGAGACTTTCTTAGCTGAAGTATGCATACACGATCCCAGTACTGTTTAGGCAGCATGATATTGTTAACGTGCCATGATTCATACAACCCAGATATATTCAGGCAGACTTGAATGGAGAAGGCCAAGGAGAAAACTTCGGACGGCACTTACTCATTGAGGGAGACTTTCCTTCGCTGTCCTCCATCCTCCACCTTGGCTGCTGCCTTTGACTGGATTCAGAAAAACACTGACCTGCCTCAGGGATCCGTTCCAGACACAAATCCTGCAGCAGAAGCAGAAACAAGGGAAGGAAATGAAAGGGAGAATTGGGGAAAGAAAAGGCTTCAGTAGTGGTTGGGGAGTGGGACGTGGGATATGTCAAACAGTTACATCTTCTGCATGAAGAGGATTGTATTCATTTGCTTCTCATGTTTTTAATGGCTAAAATATAACCTTTCCACAGACTTGAAACAATTACAACACAGAGATAACAGTACAGAATAAGGTGACAGATAAGCATATCTCTACCCATGCTTAACTGGAAGCTTTTCGAGAAGCATGTTTCCTTGTGAGAACAAAAGGACAGGAAGGACGGAGCCAATCTAATCTCCCTACCAAAGAGTTGCAGAACCCAAGGAAGCCACTGAGAAGGAGGCTCTGTCCCATCTTCCCAGGAGGTAAGACCATGAGAGGAGCGGCATCTCAGGCTGAGCCCAACGAGGGCAGAGAAAACACTTCTTGGAAAAGCTGAGACCCAAGCCATACGGAGCTGTACACGAAATGACCAGTGCTATTAATTACCCCATCTCTTTAAAAGGTACCCATGTTCTGTGTATTTCTGGGAAGCGGAATCCCATCATACAGGTCCAGGCTATCCTTGACCTGCCTTTTGACTGATGAGACGCAATTATCTCTGGCCTCAGATTGTTCCAGACTTTTCAGAAAACGTGCCAAGACATATGGATGGCCCTCAAAATGACCAGAATGAACGGAGCTCACCGTCTCCTTTTCCTGCTTCTTCTCTGCCTGACTCAGGAGGAAGCCTTCTGCCAGGGCCACCGCCTGGGAACTGGTCTCTGCCCCACATTGTCTCACCCAGGACGACATCTCCGAGGGAAGGAGTGCCAGGAACTGCTCAAAGACCACCAAGTCCAACATCTCCCCCTTGGTGCGTCTTTCTGGCTGGAGCCACTGGCGGCAGAGAAGGTGCAGCTGGCTGCAAACCTCCCGAGGTCCCAACGTCTCCCTGTAGCCAAAGTCCCTGAATTGCTGGCGGCATAAATCTGGAGTGAGCACTTCCTCCGGCAGGCTCTTCTGGGTGGCTCTCTCCTCGAATGCTCCTCTAGGCTTGGCCTGAATAAGGGAAGGGCCCTTTCCCAGGCTGGGCTCAGAAGACTCTTTTCCTCCCATCTTTTCAGTTAAACCTTGCACTGTTGCCAGGATCTCCTGCAAGGCAAAAACACTGGGAAAATTACTGAAGGTAGAAAGAAAGGGGCAGGAAAAGCAAGCAAGATGTTTGATGGGGATCCAAAGAAAATGGGGAAAACAACCCCAGTCCCATTTTAGCATATCTCTGTGGCCATAAATGATGTTCCTTTTCAGTCCTTATACACCACTTACAAGATATTTTGGTGTCCAGAGCAAGCAAACAAGGTAGCATCTACCTATTATGCTTGGGATTAAGTGTAATTTATAAGCCAGTAAGGGTGATCCCAGTAGTGATCGACACACTGGGTGCAGTGCCTAAAGACTTTGGCCTGCACTTAAACACAATCGGCGCTGACAAGATTACCATCTGCCAGCTGCAAAAGGCCACCCTACTGGGATCTGAATGCGTTATTCGCCGATACATCACACAGTCCTAGACACTTGGGAAGTGTCCGACGTGTGATCCAATACAACAACCAGCATAGTGATCTTGTTTGCTGTGTACTCATCTTGTTTTGTCTCAATTAATAATAACTTTAGTTATATCCCACCACCACCTCCCCAAAAGGACTCGGGTGGCTTACAAAGCACTCCAGGGTGCCCATATAACACACAACTGATAAAAACAGTACAAAACAAGTCTGATAAAATTATAACAACAACCCACCCATCAACACATGTCAAAATCAAAACAATTTTAAAACAACAAGTACCGTAAAAAACGGGCGACAAGACGACTTTTTAAACCTTGAAAACCTTTTGAAAAGTTGGGGGTCATCTTGTCTTCCGGATATCTGAAGCAGCCTGCTTGCCTGACTTTCAGGGCTGCGCAGGCCAGTGCTGGCTGCCGAGGCCTGCGCTGACCTCCGCAGTGGAGTGAGCGTGCTCGCCCCTGCTGCTCCCGGCGAGGCTTCGAGTGAGATTGACTCTGGCCTCCAGGAGCAGTGCGGCGAGAGGCCAGACGGTCCATTGGGCCCCCGTTGGGCCCAGCAAGGAAAGAGGCAGCGTGAGGAAGGAGTCCAGAGGGCAGCCTTCTTCACGCTGCCTCCCTCCTTCCTGGGTCCAATTGGGGCCAACGGAGTGTCTGGCCCCTTGCCTCACTGCTCCTGGAGGCCAGTCGATCTCATTCAAAGCCTCGCCGGGAGCAGCAGGGGAGGG